GTTTCCACTTTATATACAGGGTGGCCCACGTGAAATAGGCCATCTAATTATCTTCTCTAGCTATGGTGGTACGAGAAAATTTTTATACGTAATTTAAATGGTTTCAAAGGGTAAATAATATAAAGAAATGGCAAAAAATGAAAGGAAGTTTGACACTTGATTAAAAATTTTAGAGTCCAAGGTTACTGACTGCTACAACATATAAAAAAAATATATACCTATAGGTACTTTCGTGTCGAAAAACATAGGTGACCTTAAAAAAAAAAAACACAGAAAAGAATGAAATGAATTTGAAATCATTTAAATTAGGTATAAACATTTTCTCGTATAACAAAAAAAAAAAGGAAGATTGGAAAGGAAGAGATGGCGCAGTAAACTACCTATCATTTCTCGTACTTCCAAACCGTAAAAGTATACTTCACTAAAAATATTTCACTCGGTTGAAATACACACAGCTAAAAGATTCGATACTTTCAACATACGTTGTTCAACTTCGGAGTTCCATCACGGCAATATTTTCGCGCGACGACGACGAACCCTCGATTATTATTAAAGGAACGTAATCGTAGAATGTACACAAGTATCCAGGACGCGTGGTTTAAACGGTGTTTAGTTCCCATCAAGAGCCACTTAATCTCCGATCGCATAAACTCGCGCAACAATAGGGGAACGCGTGGCTGAGGTGGGGCGCACGTGATTACGTCCGATGAAACTTCATCGAGGAGTCACGTGGCGCCGGAAAAACGGGCTCGGTGCCCGCACGGGCTATGCTCACCGTTGAAAACCCGAACCGCAAAACCGAAAAGGATCCACCGAGCACCGCCTACGAGGAAAACAACCACGAGTCATGCGTTCCCACGTACACGAAACGCGAACCTCACCGGCACAGCCCCCTCGAGTTTTCGATGTAACGTTTCGGATTACACGGTATTTTGCTGTTGCCTATTGCTCCTGCGGTTGTTCGATGTTTGCCCGGGCTTCTGATCGAATCGTTTGGAAACCTTTGTTCCCCGTTCTGATGCTCTTCCAAGTGAACTTTCGAGATTTCGCGTTCAGTGCTCGTGAGAGCTCGGGGTGCACTTATTTGATGTGTTTATTAAATGTATACATGACAAGAATGTAGATAATTTGCAGGTAAATTGAAAAATGGTGAACCATTAAGTTACAGTCTACCGTTTCTTTTTTCGGTAATTTTGTTGGTAAAAATTTGTCTGAAAAGGTAGAAATATTTCGATAAGACAATTTGCAGATAAATTGGAAAATCGTCAAATATTAAATCGCAGAAATTATAAATCAAGACTTGCTTGAAAAAGAAGAAATATTTCGATAAGACAATTTGCAGATAAATTGGTAAATGATAAACTATTAAGTTACAGGGGAATTGAAGTGATCTACGCTGTTCTTTTTAAATAATTCTGTAAATAAAAATTTGTCTGCACATAGTAACGAGTAAATTTTTTATATATGTATATATGTATTAACGTTCAATTTATTACTGAAAACCTTAAACACACATTTCGTACATTTAAACCTTTTTCTAAATCCAATAGTTCTCGAGATATCGAAGAAACAGATTTTTCAAATTCGAGGGCTATTTTCACCCTCCGAGCTTGAAAATTGGCACGTGACAAAAATACGCATCAAACACTCTTTTTGGAATGTACATAATACATAAGTTTCGTAAAAATCAGCGAGTTACACTTGGGGACCATCCCGTTGTCTAAAAGCCTGTCCTTATCTTCGTTTCATATAAATAATTTTCCGTGTCACGATAAAGAAATTCCCGAAGTGAATAATTGCCTTATTTTATTGTTGCATTCGTGAGCCGCGAGATAACAAATTAATTCCGTATTATATAACAATGTAATAGATATTAGTGTGTGATTATTTCTTAATTATGAATCGTGCAGACATTTTAATAGATTTAATTCCGCGTGATACGAAATTCCTGACCGTTTCTCTTCCGTATTTATATGTAACATTTAATCAGACATCAGCATTAGCAGTGACGAACGAATTTCTTAATCTTATCGCAGACAATTCCTCTTCAGACTGTCGCTCGAATCAATGACATATTATAGTATAATAATGTTATCTGAATGTTAGTCAATGTGCCAACTCGCGTGGACGCTTCTGAAAAGGAGGTCGATTCTTGTCGCGACGTCTTATCAGTTAAAGAAGTTTCATGAGTTAAAACATGCATGCGCCTACCATGATTTTCTGCGTAGATGGAATAAAATGGCTTATATAAATCAATAAACACTTGTAACTTTAAAACCTATTCAAATGGCATTGACGATAAAGTAGAGCGTTTTAACATTTAAACACATGTAAATACTATTGTCACCAGATTTTTCCCTCTTTTTTTTTTATTTATCTCCAGTATTGTCTGCAATTTGTCAATGCAGACATTAGGTAAATTGTTATAATTGACGATATATTACGCAGACGATAGCGTCTTTACCAATAAGATCTATGGATCTCATTTATTCGATCGTCTCCATTAAAAAAATTCTGAGCGTTTCCTTCTCCTTTGTTACGCGGTAAAGAATAAAAGGAGCGGTGACTAATTTTCAGGATCTACGTTCTCTAAGTTAACTACTTTGTTTATGCCAAAAATAATTATATCTCTTTTGACTGACAACGAAAGCCTTTTTGAAGAGCTTTTATCTCTAGAAAGCGAATCTTTATGCAAGCACATTGTTTCAAACACAACAAAACATTTTTAAAAGGCGAGAAATATTGCAAAACGTGTGCACCGTACCTATAATACAACGTAAGCACAATATACAGGGTGTCCAAATTTTTTCTGATCAAACTTCGCCAGTGTGTCCTATGGGTATTAGTAAGAAAAAAATGTTATATAAACATAGGTTGTTTGAAGCTTTATTAAAAAGTTATAACAATAATGCGAAATATGAAGATAACGGGTGTGCGATTATTACGATACAATGTGTACATCTAAATGTGTAGTCTGTTGTATACCTGAGGTAGTTGAAGATGTTGAATGTAACTTCTGCCAGTGCCATTTTGGTCTTGTATCCATAGTAACCATAAGTTTGTTACCACTCCCTTCGTATTTCGTATTTTTGTTATAACTTTTTAACGAACCTTCAAACGACCTACGTTCATATCACATTTTTTTCTCTCCTGCACCCGTAGAATATACCGACAAAGTTTGATCAGAAACAACCGGGCCACCCGGTACGTCATGCGACAACTTATCACATTCACCCTTACAACAATTACACCGAGGAATTCAAATTTCCCGTCACGGTCCCACGAGTATACCGAGTGATTAAAAAAGGAAGAAAGAAAAAGGAACGAAATCAATAAGAGAGATCGAACGAGCCGAGTGGAAAAAAAAAAGGAACTATCGATCAAACCTCGAATTTGAAACGTCAGCCCGGATATGGGTGGACTTCGATCTCTCACGGGCGGAAAAAAGTCGGTGGCGGGATAAAGGCCACGGGGTGAGACATGGTAACTTGATGCCTCGACGCTTGACGTGTGCCCGA